TCAATTTAGCCACGGTATAAATGGATTCTCTTTGAAGCTTTATTATATTACTGATCTTATGCAAGTGTTTAATAAAGCTTAAACAGAATTGGAACTTTCAAAGAATTTGCTGTTTTGCACCACAGGTTATAATATTTGGGTCACTCTCAAGTTGTACATTTGCCTGTTCAACCACTAAATCAATACCCTTGGGTGACATGGTTCAGGTGAAGGTGTCCCTGCCCATGGCAGGGGGGTTGGAACTGGGTGATCTTAATGTTCTTTCCAACCCCAACTGTACTATGATTCTATGGTTTTATAATACATGCTGTATGGAGAGCTCCAGCCAGGCAGTGATTACAGGGAAGATCTTCATAGTCATGATGAACAGCTAAATGTTTACCACCAGCTTAGGCAACTGGAAGTATCTGTTAACTACAAGTAAAACTTGGCCCTGAACATCTGTCAGAGCCCTACACAATTGTAATTCTATGTACTTGGCCATCCCCTAGATGGCTGAGTATCTGCCGAAGAACAAAGCACCAGTGTGTACTACGTTAGAAAACTTGCTTAAGGGCCTTGTTTTTTTCCAGAAGACATTGAGCTGCAATCACCACCAAGTCCTTTTTATTATCAAAATGTTTATGCAAACTGGCAGTTCTTCACCTCCAAGCTGAACCATACTGTTTGCGTTTTCCAGCTGAAGGAAAACATGAAATACAGGCAAACAACAGAGCATGAAAAATAGCTGTGCTGTGAAACGTGTGTCCACAACGTGTAGCAAAAGGTTGCCAGATCCGAGTATAATATAGTTGGTTTTCTCCTTAAGCTCGAAGGAAAAGTATGTTGTCTGTCAGAGCAGTTCAGATGTAGACCCACTGTTTACTAACGCTGTGGAACACGGTGAGAGCACCTCCCAACCGGAGACTGAACTGAGGATGGACCGCGCTTGGCAACTGCACGTGAATAAACAGGCTCAGCAGTGGAGGAATGACAGTGGGGCTGCTCCGGCACTGGGAGGTATCAGTTCAGGTGGTTCAACAAGACAACAGCCTGTTCCTCCACTGTGAAGGGTCCTATCATAGTGCTGGCCACCTGCCTTGAAAGAGTAGTCTGGGACTTACTAGACCTTAGATGTGAATGGGGCTTCAACACTGCCGCTCTGGGGTCTCTGCAGTTGTAAGTCCTGGCTACACGTTCAGTTCTCAAGGTTACCCGTGTGGCTATGAGGGTTAGAAATTTTCAGTGTAAAACCCCCTAAAGTTCAAAATAGTAAATGAGAGATAAATGTGCCCAGATGCTTTGAGATTCTGCTTCCGCTATATGCAGCTCCCGAGAGCCATGGCAGCATGCAGCACAAAATCAGCTGCAGTGGGCTGGGTGTATCCTTGGGCATCCCAAGCAGTCTGCAGATGACCCCTGCTCAGAAAGTTGACTGCGGATGGACATGTCTGCTCTGCATTTCTGCTGTCCTATTGCAGCAGCGTTTGTGACTCCATCCTGCTCTGCACAGAAACAGAATCCCTTCAGGAGCCGTGCAGCACCTGAAGCTAGTGTGTCCCATAGCAGTACCCTGTGGGGTGACTGGGTTTGGTCTGGCCGTGCATGCAGATGTACTGCAAGTTGGAAAGAACTGGATACAGTGTCATTTTCCTAATTTTGCTAGACTAAATAGGGAATTATTGAAAAATAGACCCTGATAAACTGAGCTTTTTATTTTTTGTAATCAGCAGCCGTAATCAGTGATTCATCTTCTGTTTACACAATGTTTAAAGCAGATGCTCAGTTTTGGGGCCCCTTAGTGAAAGCAGTTGTGTACACGCAGGCGAGCGTAGTCTGTTTTAAATGATTTATGAACAGTGATTATCTAAAACGTGCTATTAATTATTGCAACAATGGATTTGTGCAGCTCTCTAAAGATAAGTGAGGCCTTTCACTTCACTGATGTACGTGAACGTCGGGGACGAGCACATGTTAAGAGCAAATGAGAGCATCTCAGTAGCGAGCGGTTGATGTGCCACCCTCTGGTTTGTCTCCTTCCAGAGATACAAACCATCAGTGACTCTTCGGAGTGAACCGGAGCTGTGGGGCTCAGTACCACCCCATGCTTCCAGCTAGTCACACAGCACTTACAAATGAACCCAAGTGTTCATATTTGCCTGTTAAATGAGAAAGCCAAGACATGGCTAAGACCAGAACAAAGGTCTTGTGACTGCCTGGACTGTAGGTGGCATTAATCACAGACGACGTTTTTCTCTGTGTATCTCTGATAATGCTTTTCAGCTGTTAACCTCACTGTCTGCTTATCTACCGCTGTCCTCATACCTTTTCCTGCGGGGTCCTGTGCTGCTTATACTCATGATAGACAAAAAACTAAATAAACCCCAGGCATGAGATCACCCAAGTTCATTACGGATCCCAGATCTGTGGAGGCAAAAGGCTCATGCAGTATCCCGGTGTGTTGCTTGGCCTCCCCAGACCGCTTAATTTTAAAGTGATCAGTTAGCACTAACCTGGAAACACACGACAGCCTTCAAAATGAAAACAATCTGTTTAGGCAGGTGGGAAATGAAACCAGTCCTAATGGCCATAATGGTTTTCTCTGAAGGCCCCAGGCCTCATTCTGTCTCTGATAGCAATATAATCTTTTATAGCGTCTGTGAAGTTTCCTAATAAATAAGCGTTCCTTGGTCCTGGTGGTTGAAGATGCTGTACAGGTGCATCATGAAAGTGCACTGACAGACTGTTGGTTTTCAATTCAAGACCTCTTGTCAAGATCATTTTACAAGATATTTCAAAGGAGTACACAAGAAATAAAAAAGCCATGTAGCTGCAGCAGGGATTTGGTAATAGATTCCCTTGCTGTCTGGGAGCTGTTAGGGATACAAGTTGCATCAGTTTTCCCAAATTCTTTCAACCCCATAGTTAGCAATGCTTGCAAATGTGCCCTTAGTTTGGCAAGTGGGGAGGGAATGAAGGAAGGTAAGAAATATGAAGGACAGGGAAGGAGCAGTTGCTCCAGAGTATTTTCCGTAGCTCCAGTCATTCCTTACTTATCCTTTGTTGCTTCTTCAGAACTGGAAATGGAATTAAAATAAGGAAGAGAAGAGGGAGATGGATTCCTCACATGCCAAAAATGCAGAGAAATTCCCTTTTCCCCCTTTTGGTATTTTTACAACTTCCTATTTCTAACTTCTCTATGGGGAAGAGAAACGGTACTTTCCCCAGTAGTACTTCCCTGGAGCTAACGGGACAGAGGGAGAAACAAAACAGGAGGGCAATGGAGGGAGTTGGAACACCTATTTGATTATTGAAAAGTTAAACTGCAGTGTCAGGTAGGAAACTTTTCCTGCATGTGGGATTGTCTTTTGGTGCTTTAAATCCTGACAGGTCCTACCTGGATCACCCACAGTTAGAGTTATCCTCACAATGTATTGCTCTTCTTCCCTGGTTTACAGATGGACAAAAAGATGTGGATATGTGCTGCACTATTACCCTCTCTTTATCAGTGATGGTTGTGGAGAGGTGTGTTATTCTATAATACAATCTGTACGGCAGATTCTCTCTCTGTAGGGTTTATTTCATTGCCTTGTTACACAGCTATCAATAATGTGTTCCTTCCCTTATATATTGTTGATGTTTGGAACACCCAGAAATCCTAAACTGGTTTTGTATTAGGAACATCTATAAATATCTGATCCCATGGGGCAACAGAACTGTAGCTGGCAGCAAGCATGAATAACCCCCAAAAAACATCTGAATGGAAATTTGAAAGTTGTGAATAATGCTGTTAAGTGAAGGAAAAAAAGTGATTTATCTGAAAGTATTTTGAGCAGATGCATCATTTGAGTAAAAAAACAATGTGCCTGAATTGGAAATGTCAGAACTTCAAAGAAACTGAGTCAGTAATGCAGAATGAAGTGATACATCTTGTAAAGGAAGGCAAGCAAAGCGCTTTCCCAAAGGCAATGGGAATACAAATTGTGTATACCTTAAAATAAACAGTGTGAAGTATAAACATGTGAAATAACGTAGAAACAAGAAGATAAGAATATATTTAATCTCTTAGCTTCATTTTCTTCACAAAGGACGCTGTCATTGCAGGAAGGACACACTTTTTCCTGCTTGATGGGTCCTGGAGGAGCCTTTGCCTGAGTAAAGGCAGTAGAACAGCGTGAGCCCATATTCTCTTCACATGCAATTCAAGCTCACTTATGATTGATAGCAGGTTCTTTTATCTTTTTACCAGAAGTATAAATTTCTAATAATACTGCAAATCAGCTTAGACACTACAGCAAGAACTATCTACTTAAACAACAGGCATTCTGTTCATCTTAGAAACTGGGTATAAATGGTCTTTTGCTCATGGTACTATGAGCAGATAAGTGAAATGATGCTGTGTACTGAGCATTTCTGTTTGCTTGTATTGCAGTATGACACACAAGCCCCAAGGAGAAATAGCGTGGGCTTGTCCTAGCATGAAGGGGACTGCAAGAGGTAGCACTGCTTTTAGGCTACAGACACACTGTTTAACCTGTGTCATTCCTGCCAGCCATTAGTCAACCCTGCTCTTAAAGGCTTGAACTCCCCTTGCCAAAGCGGGGGACAAAGCTTGGCCATCACTGCCACTGGAAATACATAGCTAACATTGCACCAGGATGTTCTGATCATGTCCACCCAGAGCAAGCAGAGTGTTCCATCCTCTTCCTCACTGCAGCAGCTTTTGGGACAGGGCAGTTACCATGGTCCCCCTCAGTTCTTCTTCTTAAACAACCCCAACTCAGTCTGTAATTAATGACAGTCCCTGCCCCAAGCACCTTGGTAGTGGGCCTGATCAGCCTGATGTCATTACTTCACCATGACAATATTCTAACTAGCTCCATGTGATATTCCATCTGTCTGACACTATTAAAAACTTTTTATATAGCCCTTATAATTGTAGTTGCCGAGCTCCCCACAAACATCACAGTGAGGAAGGGAAGTGCTGTTATCCCCACTGAGGCACAGACAGACCATGACCTGCCAAGATCACACAGCAAGTCTTATCAGAGAATTAAATGAAGGTCTCTGAAGTCCTTGGCTAGCTCTAGCTGTACCGTATGTTAATGTGGCACATCAAGGATGCTCCTGGAGTAGCAAGCAGCTAGGGCAAGTATGAAATTGTATGTGAGGATTTTAGTATTTCTTAATAAAATCTTACTTTATTTTCAGTAAAGGTAAGATTATGGGCACAATGTCCCAGAAAAAACTAGTTAAGTAGCACATCTTTTTTGGTTCCTGTCCAAAGTAATTTAATAACGGCACAATTACACCTCGTTGTTAGTCAGACATAACTGAGAAGCCATTTAATCCTCATGTATGAAGTAGTCTGCAGTTAAATTCTGTTAAATTAAAGCTCTAGCATATGGGTAAGGAACCTAAAGCCAGCTAAGTGACCTTCAGTTTTGTTTACCAGAGCTTACTGCTGTGTGATTTGCTTTCTACTTTGTATTGAATGAGGGATGTGTTAACGGGTGGCCCACCCAAGCATCTGAAAGCCCTACCTGGTCTTCTGCAAAGAGAAGCATTCTTGATTTAGCCTTAAAGCAATACAGACTGTCAGGAGCACATACAGTTTTAGCTCTGTGCTAATTCAGACTGGACTTTTTGCATCTACGTTGTATATTGAAAGTGCCAAAAGGGACTTTTACACATCCGAGTATAACCGTTCTGACTGTGAAAATACCAAGACAACATTAATTCTGCTAAATCTGCTTTTGCTCTTTGCACATGCAGTGCAGCAACAAGAGCAGAGTAGAATCACCTTAGTTTTTTGCTTGAGACTTGTTTCACATAGTCCCAGATTAACTCTTAAATCTTGGTTTATTTAAGTCACCGGGTATTTTCCTATAACTTGCACGGATTATATTGTAAAAATCTCTTCAAAGGTCAATTTAGAACCTTCTAAGCAAATAAACACGAAGTAAAGGAAAAGGCATTGGCACTGTTATCTAGCTGAGAGCTTAACAAAAGGTATGCTAGCTTAATTTGAGCCAGGAGAGCTGGATGGAGATTGCGTTTAACCAGAAATGCTGGCAAAAATATGCTTCAGTAGAGCCAGAATCACATGTGGCCATTCCACTTTAATTGTGCTTGTTTTAAAAGATAGGTCTTTAACATTTACCCTCTCCATGCTTGCTGTCTTTTTATGAACTGAAAATAAAAGCTCCCCAGGCAGTCGTACTAAGACCTCAAGCCTAACATTTTTCAGCTGAGTCAAATGCAAAACCTGCGCTCAATCTGCCCCATGCATTTTTTGTAGCCATAAGAAGATTGGACTGGTTTCCTTCCCGAGTCCCCAGGCCGGTCCTAACCCAGGGAGCCAGTGTTTTGATACTAAATGTGTCTCCTCAGTGAGGTCAAAGGCAGTGGCAGCAGTGCTACTGGTTCCAAGGCAGCCTGCTGTAATGTACTACAACACCCGAAAGTACGCTCAACAATAACAAAAGCATTAACCGCTGACCCACAACTTGGTGAAATTCAATCCCACCATTAGGCAAACATGAAAATGAGATCCCAGAGGAAGGAAGGTTCAGATGTTCAAGACCAGAGAAATTGGGTGAGGAACACAGGCGACGAGATGGGAAGTTGTTGCAGACTGAGGGGAGGGAAGGGGAGGTTGCCAGTTCAGCGGTAGGATCTTTTAATACCAGAAATTTCAACATGCATTTAGGCAGTGTTTTTGCTCCACTTTGGATCAAAGCAAGCTAAAACCATTTATAATAAAGATACTTTTCACTATTTTAGGGACATGTTTAATGCGATATTGTTTGATTTCCCAGGGGTTGCATAATGTTTCCAGATTTGTTTCCAGATTTGCTCTAAGTTAGATGCTTGTGTCAATGTGAAAGTGCTCACCACAAGGCTGGAGTGTTAGAGGAGCCTGAAAGAGCTAAGCACCCAAGTCTGACTCTGGTTTATCTTGTTTCAGGTGGGTTACAGATTTACACCACTGTCTCTAAGTATATTTCAGTGAGGGTCAGATGCACCCTAGAAAACACAAGTGATAAGTTCTGTGTCTCAATAATGAGTAATGGTCCATGTGCTGCAGCCATCATTGGCAGGAGGCTGGAGACGGGGCACTGGCAGGACTGCATGCTCTCTGTTGTTGTTACAGTGCCTTGCTTTTCTCCCCAGAACACACTCACTGCAGATGACCATTCTCCTGAACACAGCTTCACCCTGAACCCTGAGGACAGAAGAGAATACCCCGATCTCCAGGCTGCCCACCGGCCATTCCCCAAGCAGCGCTTCAGGCAGGAGAACGGGCATACATCCTTGCAAAGAGATGGACCCAGATCTTTCCTCCTGGATCTCCCAAACTTCCCTGACCTGTCAAAAGCAGATATCAATGGGCAGAATCCAAACATTCAGGTACAAATTTATGTTAACGTGTGGGGTTTTTTATGAGCTGCACAAAATGTTTTACTGAACCGTGACAACTTTCAGCCTGGCTTCTACGATGTGCAGTCAGGACACCTTGTCTCTCTACCAGTAGCACCAAGAAAGAATGACTATAATATATACAATATATACATGTCTATAAAGTAGTTTTTGCCTTAACTGAATGCATAGATTTCATTTTTGGTTTTATTTTCTCTGTGGATAGTGTTGATTGCGTAAGTGTGAGCATCACTACAGACCCATTTATGATACTGAAGCCATCTTTGCTGTTGCCATTTTGGAACATATTATCTTTGTCGATATTAAATGGGCATTTTAAATTCTGTTTTCAATTCTCTCTTGCAAACGTTGTTTGCGAAGAGCATCTCTTTTGGCATGCTATTAGAAAACGCAACCATCCCCAAAGTTTATAAGACAGCAAGTCTTTAAGTTTCGCCTCAAAACGTGGTCCTCAGTATGGAACCAAGACTCAAAGTTAATCTCTGCAGCAGCTGCCTGGAGTTAAGAAAAAAAAAGTTGACTGCAAGAAACTTTGTTATTCCTCAAACTGTTCTTGGGTTTGGAATGGCCTCTTACAAGCCACTTGCATCTTGAAACTTCAAGGATTAGCAAGAGGAAAAAATGAGTGATTTGTTTTTAATTCAGAGCCTTAAAGCAAAATTGGCATTAATAAGCAGTCTTTTTTAACCAAAACAATAACGTGAAATGTTGTTCTGCCTAAGATGTACTTATAAAAACAATACACTAACAGAACTGGTTTTCTGGTTAAATTAATTCCTGGCTTCGTATAGTTCCCCAGCCCACAAAATTACCATTCTTTTGATATGTCTAAGAAGTATGTACATAAAGATATAATAAATCTGTTGGTGAGAGAGCAACATGATCAGAGGGCTGGAGCACCTCTCCTGTGGAGACAGGCTGAGAGGGTTGGGATTATTCAGCTGGAAAAGAGAAGGCTCGGGGGAAATCTTGTTAGAGTCTTCCAATACCTAAAGGGGCTGACAAGAAATCTGGAGAGGGACTTTTTACAAGGGCCTGTAGTGACAGGACAAGGGAGAATGGCTTTAACCTGACAGAAGGAAGATTGAGATTAGACATTAGGAAGAAATTCTTCCCTGTGAGTGTGCTGAGGCGCTGACACAGGGTGCCCATAGAAGCTGTGGCTGCCCCATCCCTGGCAGTGTTCAAGGTCAGGTTGGACGGGCTTGGATCAGCCTGGTCTAGTGGAAGGTGTCCCTGCCTGTGGTAGGGGGTCAGAAATGGATGAACTTTAATGTCCCTTCCAACTCAAACTGTTCTGTGATTCTGTGTTCAGGCGAGTGCAAGCTGTCTCCAGTGACCCTCCATTGCATCATAGATGGCTTACAATGTTAAGAAGTTGAACAGATTTGGATCAACGGCACGGCCAATATTTGATGGGCCAAGGTAGTAAACGTGCTCAACATGTGCTGACTGTGTACATCCCTCACACTAGGACAAGCCTTCCAGAAAGCCTTAGGAAAGGAAGGCAGGGAAGTATAGGGGCCCCAGATTGTGGCATGAGGTAAACAGTGTAACATCATTGTTTGAACAGTATGTAAACCACAGAGGAAGACAAGGGGAAAAAACAACCTTCTCTGATTGGTAACAGCGTTTAATGTTTAGACCCAGGGAAGAGATAAATGGAAACATTTCTCTGGATTGTCTTTATAGGAAGTGCTTTCTGCTATGACCTCTTTTTCCACCACCTGATCTTGGAACACATGTCAGCAGAGTTGCTGGACTCTGAGAACTGGGAAGCCTGGTCCTGTAAACTGGGAAACATTGAGCAACATTAATCCCAGAGCTCTTGTGCACAAGATCAGCTCGTTCTGAAACAGGCTCCCTAAGTTCTGCGTTATGTTTACTCTGCTTACTTATGTGCATTGATAAGGATATGCAAAGCTGCTTTAAGTTCCTGGTTGACAGTCCTGGAGCAGGTCAGGCATCGTGGAGATACAACTCCCATTAGTTCATTACGCAGTCAGTGAAAGTTTATTTCTTTTCCTAAAAGGTGGCTTACTCTGTTGGGAAACCCAGGATTACAGTGAATTCTTTCTCTTTAAACAGTACTGCGCTGACCTGAATGGAAATAATGCCAGTTGTTGATTTGCACATTTCTCATCAGCTGTTTGGCAGGTGAGAGCCGAATCGATGCTCATTTGGCCTTTTACACAATGGCTTCAGGCTCTGTAAATTACAACCCTGGTGTTGTTAATTTGAGAGTCCTCTTAAGACTGTGAGATTGGAAAGGAGAAAAAAGCCTGTGTGTGTTGATCTAGCACAATGGCCACATTTACTTCTCGAAGCCCCACGACTTCTTTTTGTTTCTACTAGTACCAACCTACGTAGACCAAAAATAACATTTTTTTAAGGGAAATTATACCTGGAAATTTTAAAAACCCTAGTAAACAGGCATGAACCACAGCCTGAAAAGCAGGTTGAAAAGATATTCCAATGGGCTCTCCTTATGCCCAGTCCTTCTCTCGTTTCCCATGAGATGGCAATTGCTGTATCATGCTCTGGTTGTGTGCTCTTTCAGGAAGTGGTAGATATCATAGAATCATAGAATAGTTAAGGTTGGAAAGGACCCTAAGATCATCCAGTTCCAACCCCCCTGCCATGCACAGGGACACCTCATACTAAACCATCTCACCCAAGGCCTTATCCAACCTGGTCTTGAGCACTGCCAGGGATGGAGCATTCACAACCTCCCTGGGCAACCCATTCCAGTGCCTCACCACCCTAACAGGAAAGAATTTCCTCCTTATATCCAATCTAAATATTAATCTATATCAGAACACCATCACAGGAATTATGACAATTAACATGCTCCCAGATAATACTGTATTTATCAGGTGACAATCAAATATAAGTACAGTGGACTGTCTTCTAGGAAAAACTTCAGAAACAGCAGTTGGAGCTGCAGTAATCCAAATGCAATGTGACTTTTTGTGTGCAAGATCAGGACAACCCTTACTGGTCTATCTAAGGCATTCTAGCCTTGTAATATCACCCATCATTTCAAGTGGGATTTTATGCTTTAGCATAAATGGCCTTCTATGATGGGGCTACAGAACTGATGGACAGGGGTAGAGCAGTTGATGTCGTCTACCTGAACTTGTGTAAAGCGTTCGACACTTTCCCACACAACATCCTTGTCTCTAAATTGGAGTGACATCAATTTGATGGATGGACCACTCGGTGGATAAAGAACTGGCTGGATGGCCGCACACAAAGAGTTGTGGTCAATGGCTCCATGTCTGGCTGGAGAACAGTAACGAGTGGTGTCCCTCAGGGATCGGTGTTGGGACCGGTCTTGTTTAACATCTTCGTTGCTGACATGGACAGCCGTGTTGAGTGCGCCCTCAGCAAGTTTCCCGATGACACCAAGCTGTGTGGTTCGGTTGATACCCTGGAGGGAAGGAATGCCATCCAGAGGGACCTCAACACGCTTGTGAGGTGGCTGATGCCAACCTGATGAAGTTTAACCATGCCAAGTGCAAGGTCCTACACCTGGGTCGGAGCAATCCCAGGCACAGCTACAGGTTGGGCAGAGAAGAGATTCAGAGCAGCCCTGCGGAGAAGGACTTGGGGGTGTTGGTTGATGAGAAAATGAACATGAGCCGGCTTCAGTGTGTGCTTGCAGCCCAGAAACCAACCGTATGCTGGGCTGCATCAAAAGGAGCATGACCAGCAGGGTGAAGGAGGTGATCCTGCCCCTCTGCTCTGCTCTTGTGAGACCTCACCTGGAGCATTGTGTGCAGTTCTGGTGTCCTCAACATAAAAAGGACATGGAACTGTTGGAACAAGTCCAGAGGAGGCCACAAGGATGATCAGGGGACTGGAGCACCTCCCGTATGAAGACAGGCTGAGAAAGTTGGGGCTGTTCAGCCTGGAGAAGAGAAGGCTGCGTGGAGACCTCATAGCAGCCTTCCAGTATCTGAAGGGGGCCTATAGGGATGCTGGGGAGGGACTCTTCATTAGGGACTGTAGTGAGAGGACAAGGGGTAACGGGTTAAAACTTAAACAGGGGAAGTTTAGGTTGGATATAAGAAGGAAATTCTTTCCTGTTAGCGTGGTGAGGCACTGGAATGGGTTGCCCAGGGAAGTTGTGAATGCTCCATCCCTGGCAGTGTTCAAGGCCAGGTTGGACGAGGCCTTGGGTAAGATGGTTTAGTGTGAGGTGTCCCTGCGCATGGCAGGGGGGTTGGAACTGGATGATCTTAAGGTCCCTTCCAACCCTAACGATTCTATGATTCTATGTAGTTCTTCCTGAAACATGGTCTTCCAGTTGCTCAGGGCAATGTTTATGCCGTTAAAGGGAATTCAGAAACATTGTCTCAGTAAACAGGATGAAGTACACTGAACTTTTCATGCACTCCAACAGGCAGGGATATATTTATCTTCTGTATAGTTTTGGCCAGGAGAAACTTGGATGTTGGTGTCTCAAGACATCTGTGCTTGATCCATTTGTTTCGTTCGAAGGTGACTGCAAATCTGTTGTTCTAATGTACCTATGCCAATTGTTTTTAACCATTTTTAGAGGAACATCATAATCTGTAGCGCACACAGCCATAGAAGAAGTGACTTCATCTTAGGTTTGAATACTTCTGGAGATGACTGTGGATTTAGACCAGGACCATGTTACCACAGACATTTTTGGAAGCTTGAGAAAAAAAAAGTAAATAATCTCTATAGTTTTGATAATCACTGGAGGAAAAAATCAGAGGAAAAGAAGTTTTTTAAACAGTCTCCAAGATAGAAGTCCTAAACCAGATCTATTTCTTAATTTTTGAGAGAACATGTTTTTGTTGGAGTCGTTACACAGCGTGAAAGCTTTTCCAGAGCTGCTTTAAATGCCTGGTTTTAACTACTCTAGATCTGATTACTTTTTTCCTTTCTATAAACAACCCCCAGTGTGGAAACCGATCAAACAAGACACGTGTTTGTGTGTCAGGTACATGTACCATGTATGTGCAGTCATGGGCTAATGTTAAGTCTGTCTGTAAGGACTGGGATGAATCCAGTGAATACTGGATTTTCAGGATTTCAGGCTGGGATAGGGAGCAATAGCTCACCCGAAGCAGCCTCTTCTCTTCCCTCTGCCCTAACTTTGGGTCATACTATGGGGGGACTACAAGGCTTACTCACTGATTTCCTCCCTGCTTCTGGAAAGTCCATTGGACGCAAATGGGGCTGAGTCCCTGAAACACACAGATTTACAGTCAACTGAAGCTGCCTTTGTTTTTCATCTCCAAGAGTGGCAGTTCAGGCAATCCCAAGTTTCTTTATAGAGTTTCCTTCACTCTGTGTTTTTTATGCTGCAATTTAAACGAATAACTCAGTAATCAAAGCTTAAAACAGCAGAGAGAGGAATATAGATGTGTGTCAGCATTGGATTTTGCTTTGGTTATGTTCAGTTTTTAAATGGGCAGCGTGTTGGGAAACTCATTTTAACGGCCTCTGCTATAAGCCTCTTTGGTAGTAAAAGCAGACTGAAGAGGGATATCTGATTGCACAGACACATCTTGAAAGTGAGTTAGTGGCAGTGCTGTTGGAGGTCTGGTGAGGTCTAACGGTGCTGGAAGCTTGTGTGTTACACCTGCCTCTCTTCCCCTGTGCAGCACAAAGCTCAGCAGGAGTGTCTCTGTCCCTACAAACCCTCTTTTGCTTAAACTGACCTGGCATCCTGAATAAGGATTTCAAATCAAATCCCTATGGTTTTTCAAACCATACCTGCCTGAAGCAAAGTGAGTTCATGCTTGTTGACTATCACATAACCACAGATTTCCAAAGCAAATGGAATGGTTATCAAGTGCCCCCCGCCTTTTTTATGAGGTTTTCTTTGCTTTGGGTTTTTTTGTTTGGGCTTGTGTTGCTTTTGGGTTTTTTCCACTCTGCTGAGTTATTGCTTACAGAGTTAATGTGGTCTTAAATATACTTGCTACTACAATACTGGAGTCCTACTAATTTTCACATGGGCAGTACTAAAGCCTTGCGACCGCTCAGTAACAGTTTCCTTTCACTTATTGTGAAAACCCTGTTTTCCTTGGATAGATGCAACACTTTTGAGTCCCTGAACAAACCCTCATGTCTTCAAACTTATGAAATCCATTTTAATTCTTGGTCTGTAGAAACTGAGGTTTAATGAAGTAATCATTCCAAGTCCATATTTAGTCTGGGAGTAAAATATCTTTTGTGTAAAGATGCTATTAGGCAGACAACTGCACTTTCCCTCGCTCTTGCTCTTTCTCCCAGTGGAGCTTCTTAGTAGCCTCAGAGTCATTTCATTTCAATGGCTTGGTCTATGGTCAAATGCAAAGCATGAAATAGATGCAAAATCCCCTCTCTCCAAAAAAGGATGTGTGGGCATTGTCTGTGCAGCTGTGTTGGCAGCTCCGAAGCTATGGCAGCAGTTCTGGGTTTTGTCTATATCACACTCCTCTGTGGTGCACAGGTAGCTGAAGAAACATGGACACTTTTCTTTCTTCTTTATGTGTGTGTCTTGTGATGTTGCTAATAATAACTGTATAAAATGAAACCTTTAATCCACAATGCAAATCCATAGAGCTGGGTAACTGTTTTTTAGTATAACAGAACATTATTCTGTTATTCCTGGTTTTAGACAACCCAATTTTCATGGAGTAATGTCCTGAAATACTGCTTTCTAAATCTGTAAACAACGAAGAATACATCTGTGCCTATATTAGACCTTATAGATCTCTCTGATAGTCAGTGCTGTATCATGGTTGTTTAGCCAGTCCATTGTAATCACTGAACCACATACATTAGCACGAAGCATCAGTGCACTTATGATTTCTCTCTGGCCACACAATGCTTGCATGACTCACAGAGCTGGAGTTTCTGATGCCTAGTTCCTATTTCTACCTAAATAGCCACCTATATGCACGCAGTATTTATCCAAGAGTTCCATAATTACACATTGTTTGACACAGAGAAGGAGTAATCAAGGGGTATTCCTGTGCTCAATTATATTTACATTCATGTGTCTGTGAGAGAATTGGGCAGCAAGCATTGAGTCTTGGCTCTGGGCTTCTATAGAGACTGTGACCGAGTTGTGTATCATTGTACATAGGGAGGACCTACTTCAGAGGGCTTAGCAGTGACTTACTCAGCGATGGCTGGAAGAGCTGCTGGCTCTCATCACGGCAGCGTGTGGTCTCACATGCTGGGTGACAGCCCACCCGTGATGTGGTGGAAGCACTGGTGCCACAGGATGGGCCCTGCAAGGGGCTGGGCTGAGCTTCTGCAAGGCAAGGCAGACCCTGCGCTCTGCATCTTCCACATCTGCACTTCTGGTCTTACTCAGCCCTATCTTGAGCCAGTCCAAGTCCTTGAAACGGGTTCTGCACACTGGTGTGCTTCATGCTTGCTTCAAAATGAGCCTCAACGTAACAAGAGTATCAGATTTGGGTTTCTTTTTCCTGGTCATGTATGTTTGGCTTTAAACATCTTTTCCCCTTAAGGCAGCGAATTCTCCTGCAAAGCTTTTAGGCACAGCATGGGTTATTCTTTTGTGCAGGGTTTTTCCTAGCCTTTGTTCCAAGGTCTGATTCAGCAGAGGTAGCAGAAGGAATCATTCAGCCGCTGCATATCTCTGGGCTCAGTAACCCACATATGGTTTACAACATGTGAACCCTACAGGATAACACAGCCCTTTTGCAGGGCAACACCAGTCACTTGTCTTCACTGTATAGAAAGTTTCCCACTGACTAGGAGGAGACACTGACAGGCTGGTCTGTTTTGAATCCCATAGGTTACCATTGAAGTGGTGGATGGCCCTGACACCGAGACGGACAAGGATCTGCAGAAAGAGAGCAGCAAGCCTAGCTGGCCAGTCCCATCGCCTGAATGGAGAAACTGGTGGCAAAGGTCCTCCACCTTGACTCGCATGAGCAGCGGTGACCAGGACTACAAGTACGACAGCACTACTGAGGACAGCAACTTCCTAAACCCTCTCGGTGGGTGGGATAGTCATGCACCCAGTCACCGGACATTTGAGTCCAAGGAGCAGCCAGAGTATGGTAAGTTTGCATTCCAGGCCTCGTATGGGCATCTTGGGATTGTAAAAACGAGTTTGGGGGAAATGAGAATGGCGAGGCATCGCTGAGAGCGTGCCAAGCAAAACAGGGTTTTTCAGCATGTGGCTTTTGTTCATCAGCTTTTAAATACGAAGCTGCGCAGATGCACAGGCTGTACTGTGGTAGCTGCATTCCACTGGTAAGTCTATAATCTTGAAAATCATACCAGTTATCCCATAAAAGGACCTTTTTTTAGTCCTAAGTGTACTTTTTTTAAAAGCAAAGGAAACAAGGTTTCGCATTTATTTTTAGAGTAAGGAGAAGTACAAATTTAGAGTTGTGCGGTGGTCTGGGAGCCCAAATGTAATTATTGGATAAATGAGCGAGATCTAAGACATGGTAGTATTTGGTGGATACACAAATAAGATGAATTATGTTGGTGCATGCGTGGGGAGTGGCATATGCAGCAGGAACATTGTGTATTTGCGTGTGCAATTCTCTTCCAGATGTGTCATGGTGAAAACAATTGTTTTCAGCTTGTTGCGTGAAACAGCTGCAGAAACTGGAAACAGAGGGGAGCTACAGTCACTCACTGCCCCAGCGGGCTGTAACTGCCCGCATGAGAATGACTCAAGGGAGGTGAACTAATAGGTGCTCACAGGTAGCACAGAGACTCTCGTATTCAAGGTGTATGTAAATATAAACCCAGATGTTGTTAGAGCAGGGCTTCGAAGCCACAGTACTTTTACCCTGGCAATTCTGTGGCATTCCCTAAATACTGCAGAGTGGTTCTCGTGCACTGCTTCATCTCGTTTTTCCCCTCTTTTGGTTATCTTGCAGTCCTAGAGACTTAACAATTGAAAGAGACTTCTCATGGAATCGCGTGTTTAAACACATACATATGTATTAAATTTTGTGGCCAGAAGATTAGAGTCTGTCCTTTCTTTCTGCACCTGCATTTATTTGTGGGCACACTTTATTGCCAAGAATTCATATATTAGGCAGGTAAAATAAAATTGCTTTTGCAAATAATTGTGGTAGAAAAACATTAATAAGCATTACAGCAGGGGGGTTGGAACTGGATGATCTTAAGGTCCTTTCCAACCCTAACTATTCTATGATTCTATGATTACAGATATAAAAATGGGAAGAACAGGTTGTGCTCCAGCTGAAAACCTAATGTATATTTAACAGTAGATACTCTGTGTTTCACACTGCAGTATAAACACTAGGTAGGTAGGCCTAGAAATTGTCCCAGAGCTCTCTGCTGTACACCGGAGCACCCTACTGATCGGAGAAGACTCCTGGCCTTCGTGGACTAACCTAAAATGTCATGTGCCATTGGCCTTGGCCAGGAGGATCATAGAATCCTATGAACACAGAATGGTTTGGGTTGGAAAGGACCTTAGGGTCATCCAGTTCCAACCCCCTGCCATGGGCAGGGACACCTCACACTAGAGCAGGTTGCTCCAAGCCTCATCCAGCCTGGCCTTGAACACTGCCAGGGATGGGGAAGCCACAGCTTCCTTAGGCAGCCTGTGAGGCAGTGCCTCACCACCCTCATAGTGAAGAACTTCTTCCTTATATCTAACCTAAATCTTTCCCGTTTAAGTCTGAACCCATCACCCCTTGCTTGTCCTAGCAGCAGATCCTACCTGTATGAGGCTTTTATGCTAGTACCACCCATCGCTTCATGGCTCTGTTTCCCTTGTCCTCCCAGGATTTTGGGTCTTTGCGTACAAGCATTAACCATGCTCCCATCCACCATGGACACCTGATGCCAGTGTGGTGGCTTCCTGATTGGCAGCCATGTAAGAAAAGGAGGAAAAGCACACGAGGTCCCAGCCATGAGGAGCTCACATCTAGGCAGCTTGCTGCGAGTGAGATATATAACCTTGCCATACTCCTGGCAATAAATGTTTAATAGCACCCCACAGAGTTGTCATCAGTCATTACATATGGTACAAATCAAGTTACGTGTTCTACTAACCAGCTCAGGAAGCCCACAGACAGCATGGCAGTGAGGGGGGAGTGGGAATCACATGCAGCCCAGAGGCCAGTGCATGCAGGGGTCTGTCCCTGGCTCTTGCCTCTACATACAAATCCTGCTTATAGCAATAGAGCAGGGCTGGCTCAGAGTCACTAAGCCCAGTTTTGCTTTGCTGCCAGTGCTGCTTTAACCCCAGTGAGCAAAGGCTGCGAGTTATGATCATAGGGTCAGCCCAGTATCTCCTGTAGGCTGCAGAGAAATCCATTAAGCCAGACATTCCCTAGCAAGAGATCATGCTCAAGCAGGGGAGGCCAGTGAGAAGGCAAGGACACTGTGTATGGTTCATGGAGTCCATTTGAGGGCCTTCACAAGGTGGGATGTGCAAGGGGTAGCTCTGCAAACAAAGGTTCTAAGGTGTTTAGGTACTTACAGTGGCACTGAGCTATGGTGGTGCAGACTTGGTATGGTTTGCCCTTGGCTGTCTACCAGAACAGAATAAAGTTATGCTTTGTTTTCAGAAGGTTCCTGCTAGTAAACAGTCAGATTTGATGTTATTTAATAATTCACATGAAACACTACAAATTGCATGCTGTTCTGGGTGCAAGATGCCTATGCAGTTCCCTATACTCACAGCAGTATTCCTGCAGTATCTGTTTCCTGTTCAAGGGACTGAAAAACAAATTGCTGTTTTCACACATACCCCTCTGCCTCCCATAGCCCAACATGCTTGTGTCCTAAAAACTAATTGAGTATTGTTGTGCTATTGCTGTGTGTTTTGAAAAGACAAAAAAGAAAACCTCATTTACCCTGTGCCTGATTAGTCTGTGGTCAGAAAACATATTCCTGTACACAGGGAAATGATGTGGATAGACGTGCACTGTTAGTTCATGACCCAGCTCCGCAGCTGAGGGTTCTCAGCTGCCAAAAGGTCAAAAGAGAAAGGAAATATTTTTTCAAATCATGTTGCATGCATTTCCCTGAGGAGCATCAAGTGTGAAAACCATTTAAATAGCAGGCTTACGCCTGGCATTTAGCCCAAGCTTCAGGTAGAGACATCTGGATTCCATTCTTGTTTTGCCTGCTTAATAAAAACCACTACACAGTAGTTTGGGGCAGTAGGAGTTTTGTTTCTTCATTTCCTTCCTCATCTTTGTTCTCACACAGATTACATGGACGGCGAGGGAGACTGGAGCCCGTGGTCCCTCTGCAGCGTCACCTGCGGCAGCGGCAACCAGAAGAGGACGAGGTCCTGTGGGTACGCCTGCACGGCCACCGAGTCACGGACCTGCGACCGGCCCAACTGCCCAGGTATGAGCATGGCCAGGGAGCTGCTGGCTCAGCTGTGATGTCCAGAGAGCCACTGGCTCAGCTGTGATGTCCAGAGAGTCACTGGCTCAGCTGTGATGTCCAGAGAGCCACTGGCTCAGCTGTGATGTCCAGAGAGCCACTGGCTCAGCTGTGATGTCCAGAGAGTCACTGGCTCAGCTGTGATGTCCAGAGAGTCACTGGCTCAGCCGTGATGTCCAGAGAGTCACTGGCTCAGCTGTGATGTCCAGAGAGCCACTGGCTCAGCCGTGATGTCCAGAGAGTCACTGGCTCAGCCGTGATGTCCAGAGAGCCATTGGCTCAGCCGTGATGTCCAGAGAGTCACTGGCTCAGCCGTGATGTCCAGAGAGCCACTGGCTCAGCTGTGATGTCCAGAGAACCACTGGCTCAGCTGTGATGTCCAGAGAGCCACTGGCTCAGCTGTGATGTCCAGAGAGCCACTGGCTCAGCTGTGATGTCCAGAGAACCACTGGCTCAGCTGTGATGTCCAGAGAACCACTGGCTCAGCTGTGATGTCCAGAGAGCCACTGGCTCAGCTGTGATGTCCAGAGAGCCACTGGCTCAGCTGTGATGTCCAGAGAACCACTGGCTCAGCTGTGATGTCCAGAGAGCCACTGGCTCAGCTGTGATGTCCAGAGAGCCACTGGCTCAGCTGTGATGTCCAGAGAGCCATTGGCCCAGCTGTGATTGTGTTCACTGAGCTGGGGAGTGGGGAGAGGCAGGCAAGGGGCAGGAGAGCCATTCTGTCCACAAAGCCATGGGGCCATTCATTCCCTGGCTAGGTAAGAGTCCCAGTGGGAAGAGCCACACTGGTTTTCAAGGCCATTCATTAAATGGCAGGTTCTTTGCTAGCAATAATGCGCTGCTAGATCCAGTCCCCTGTCCCCTGGCACTTGAAAGACAAGTACAGGCTTTTCCGAGGCAGTCATCTCTGTGCACAGCACATTTGTATTCCAAGGGGTGAAATCTACTCTATGGAAACAAATTTGTATGAATTCTAGCATTTCAAAACAGCTGTGCTGTCACCTCAGTGACTCAGGTTTTGCTGTGCAATGGGTGGGCATGCCTGTCTTGTGACCAAAGAGCTCCCCCTCAGCTTTATGGCTTTTAAGTTTTGTGCCTAATATATACAGAGTTGCTTTAAGACTGCACGTGTATTAATATGGAAAAAAAAACAACCACTTCAGATACCTGCTTTGCATTTCACCCCAGAGATTTTGGGTCCATTGGGCATTAAGCTACAAGATTTCCTGTCCTGGAAAGTCAATTTTAAGGTGGAAATGTCACTTCTGTTTCCATACATAGTGCTTAATAATTGGAGAATTATAAACCAGCAGAGTTTGGTTCCACAACATCTGTGCACAATGGGATGAAGGAATGTGTAGTTTTGGCTTGACTGTATGCAGAATATATGGCCAAGGAGCCTTAACTTAGCTCCGACCCATCTATAGGCATTGGCATTTAAATGCCAGTAACGGAGGCATCCTTACCATCACACAGTGGTGAAAGCAGGGCTGAGCACTCAAACCTACGTCATAAACATTTAAAGCTGCTATGGAAAACTTTCCTGTGATGTTCTTTAAATGCTGCTGCCTGTTAGGGTTTAGGCAAATGTGTAATGCAGTGATGCAGGAGTTGCCACAATGCATGGGATATGCGCGATTTCGTTACTTCCCGAGATGGGAGAGAAATAAAAACACATGCTGTGGTGGTATGCGTTTCACTGAGTTTACTTAATGACTCAGAAAGGCAGAAATACTTAAACTGGAGGTCAGGTTTTTTGATGGGAAGTGAAATGTCAGCAGTGCTGGAGAGAAGACACAGGATCCCCAGTGAGAACGATAGAAGTTTCCCACTCGCAGGTAGATGTGAGTTGCAATCGCATCCATTGCCAGGTAATGGCTGCTCAGCACTTCAGGAGAAAAATGTTCCTGGATGCTCTCATGCATCCTAAACCTGCAATAATAAGGGGTTAATTCCAGAAGAGAGCATGTAGCCCCCACTTATACTCTCCAGTGTTTATTACCAGCTAGCATCAAACAGTGGCAAACTTGAAAGGAGATATTATGTCATATAACAGACCTCCGACGATAAGCAGGCAAAATATGTTCACTCTTTGGGGCTGTGCTGACATTTTTGAAATTACAAGGGCAAAGCTCAGCTTCTGCTGTTTGTAGTTCCAGCAGTGAATTAATGCCTTGTAATGGGTTCTTGGGTATCTATTATTCTGCATCTACTGCTGGAGTTAAGGCAAAACCCGATGATAATTTTATTGAAGAGCAGCCTGAGGCTGTTTTGAAGCTTTGCAAGCCACTATTATACCCCAGTTCAAAAGATCAGGAGAAAGTTCATTGGCGAGAAGTTGGATGCTGAACAGGCTCCATTATTAACCATATAGTTATCATATATTAAAGAGCTTTCTGCTCTCTTTGGAGGTCTTTAATTCAATGGAGAGGCAAAAAAAGAAACCCCAAACCTGTTCAAATGCTTCTTTGAAGAGACATTTGTTTTAAGGCTGCATGGCACAGAAATGAGGGAAGCATTGAGCTGGTAGGTAGGCCTACCCAAAGCAGCAATGAGAGGATGTTTACTTTGGCAAGACCAATTAATACATTTTCTGGCAAGACCTCTGTCTCTATGCTGATAGCAAACTTAACTGGAGGCTGTTGGAAGATCCTGGTATTAAACTGCTGTAGGTGGTAGGAGATGGGATTGATTGGAGAGGTTATTTATCTCATGCCTACTCACACTTTTCAACTCCCCAGACTGGGAGAGACCAACAAGCACCAATCTTCTTGTAGTAGCATCACTCTTCCTCCTACTTCATATATGGTTGGATGTGAACTTACCTGTCCTCAGGCATGTCTCTGTTTTAGAAGTAGCACAAAAGCTGTCTCTTTTCAGACACCACATTTTGCCCAACATGTTAGAGCTGCCATTGGGGCACTTGTTTGTAACTTGTGACCCATGCTCTCGAGAAGGTGCTGGTCACGTAAAGCTGACTAGGTGGCTTTTGGTAAAGCGTGTACAAAGCTCCAACTGGAATTACTGGGAGAGGCTGGCAAGCCTTGCTTCAGGAAGAGGAGGACCTGTGTCAGGTCCCTCACTACTGCCCTTGCACTGTGTTCATAACTGACCGCTTTGCTGCTTAAATATAATCTAAGCTCTGCAACTGGAAAACCTTTGACCTTTGGCCTAAGCTAATGCTTTATCCTCTGAACATCATAGATTCCATGGCCATTATACTTTTAAACAAACACCTCTTTGAGCAGCAACCTCAGGTTACTGCCCTGCTGAACAAAAGCACCTTGAAGAACTGGGGAAGGAGGGGTGGCAGGGAAGCAGTTGATCTCATTGTGTTTTAATAGGAAAACACCATCACAGCTAACATGTGTTTGTCTTAGGGATTGAAGATACCTTCCGCACAGCTGCCACAGAAGTGAGCTTACTTGCAGGAAGTGAAGACTTCAACGCTACCAAGCTGTTTGAAGTTGGTAAGCAGCCTTGTCACTCTTCCAGTAGTAGATAAGAGACTTCCTTAGATTTTCCTGGATTGACTTTTGCAGTAGGACCAAGGTTTTGAGTTTACCATTGAAAATGTCAGTAGTAAAGGCCATTTATTATCTTGCTTAAGTTTACGATCTGAACCTTAGCTTGCTTCTGCCATAAAACCTGCCTCCTCTTCAGCCTTAGTAAATGTCTCTGCTTCTCTCATTATAAACTGGTGGTTCTCTGTCCTAGTTCAGAAAAAGGGCTGTAAGGCTCCATGCTACTGGAGGAGGGGGGAAATCAAACACTGTGCTTTGAATCTTCAGCGTTATGCTGAAATAGCCTCAAATGGAAGATAGTGTAAAAGCATTTTAGGTACAGCTGAGAAAAAACAACAGTGACTTTTACAAGCGTGCACAGTTTTATAACTGTGTGCTCTGCAGTAGGGCTAGCCAGAGCAATTTTATAAGGCATAACTCAACACTGATCTATGTAAAACTGAGTTCAACATCTGTAACGTTCTGATTTCATGCCCCCAACGAAGCCGTAGTGTGGCCACTCTTTGACACTGGATGTGGGCTAACTGGATAAATAATGTAACCCAGCACCTCCCTTCTATGGTGGTAGAGCACAATAGGACTCTTTAAGGAGATAAAAAAACAGGACACAGTCACTAAGTAAATATTTTGCAAAGATGTTTGCTGTAAGAGTTTGAGGTCCCAGCCTTTGCCTTACCCCAGAGTCCTGTTAAGTAAGTGTGGAGCAAGATGTTCAGGGAGTTTTAAAACCCGTAGCATGATACAGACACGCTGAATAATGCTTTGGGTAGGAGATGTTTAACTGGATTCTCCCCAGACTCTTGTGAAATAATAAAGTGCCAGTATTAAATATGCTACTAGTCTATAAATCTCTTTAATCCTAGGTGTAAGTCATGGCTCTGGTGACATTAAATCCTCCTAACGTAGATACTCCAATATTATGTCACATGTGCCCTTCTAGAATCTGAATCACTTTTGGCTGCATTGGCCAGCTGTCAGTCTCCACGTTTGAACTACAGTTACTTGAAATACCCCTTTGGGAAGGTTGAGACCAAACAGAAAAAGTATTTGTTAGTTAAAGGAAAGACCAAATTAGGGCTTAATAATGAGCTTCAGAAAAAGCAATCCAGGCCTTGCTTGCCACCTTGGCATTTCTAGCGTCATGAGAAACTTCAACACGTGGATCTGCTGCTCTTACAAGGTGAGTGGTCTAGGGATTCAAACTGGAGACCAGCATCAAATCACCCTGACTCCCCTATTTCAGTTCTGTCACTTGTAAACCCCTAGTAGTTTGTAAACCCTCTTGTGCTGCATGGGGATGCTTGCAGCTTAATTAGAATCTGCCAGGTAGGAGGAAAGCTGAAGATTCTTCCTGGCACAGCTGTGCACTGTGATTCAGACTAGCACTGCCTGAGGCCCTAAAGGCAGTCACACATGTGATTTCTTCATCTGTCAAGACAGCACATTGCAGGGAGGCAAGCTCTGAGTGCCCTTTCCTTCTTAAGTAAAGCACTGGTGCTGGGCAGTTATTTGTTATCACTGATCATACGAACTGGGATGTTGCATAATGTCTCTTAAGTTTCCATTTCCTGCCATTAAACAGATACTGATAGCTGCGAAAGATGGATGAGCTGCAAAAGCGAGTTCTTGAAGAAATACATGCACAAAGTGGTCAATGATCTTCCCAGCTGCCCGTGCTCCTACCCCAGAGAAGTTGCATACAGCACTGCTGAAATCTATGATCGACTGAAGAGGAAAAACTTCCGCTGGAAAGATGCGAGTGGTCCAAAGGAAAAACTGGAGATCTATAAACCCACTGCACGGTACTGCATCCGCTCCATGCTCTCTTTGGAAAGCACAACGCTTGCAGCACAGCACTGCTGCTACGATGATAATATGCAGCTGATTACCAGAGGGAAAGGGGCAGGCACACCGAACCTGATCAGCATTGAATTCTCAGCAGAACTCCATTACAAAGTGGACATTCTGCCTTGGATTATATGCAAAGGTGACTGGAGCCGATACAATGAAGCGCGGCCTCCAAACAATGGGCAGAAGTGCACAGAAAACCCTTCAGATGAAGACTACTACAAGCAATTTCAAGAAGCAAGGGAATACTGAGATGTTCCTCCTCTTGAGACACAAAATAGCATTCGTTTCCTGGATGCCAAAGAACTGATAACGGCTGCTGCATTGTCTCCTTGACAGGGGTTGATCAGTTTCTTTCTAATGAATGTATATAGTTGTAATATAATACATAAGTATTTTTCATAGTGTGTGTAATTTATAAACACATATCTCTCTATCTCACACACACCTATTTTTACATACAGACATACATAAAACTTGTCCTGGTAGGATTTTATACTGCAATAATGTTCATTTAACAATGTGCATTTCATTTTATTCCCCAACTGTAACAGAAGTGTGAGGTGGAGGCAAGGGGGGGCAGCTGCCGTCACCGTCAGGCCCCAAGGCTCCAACTGAGGAGGGCAAATAGTTAAAAGTTGTTATAAACAATAGGATTGAAGAATGCACTCTTCCATATGGGAACGTTTTACAAGATTAATACACCTACAGCATCAGTTTTCTCTATAATTGACTTCATGACTAATCATATCTAAGAAAGGAAGACTATTTTTTTGGAAGGGTAATACTCAAAAGTGGCTATAGACAATTACTAGCAATTTTGTCTTGGTTTTCTTCCTGTTATGGTCGAGCTCGGGTCTTTGCAGCCCACCTGGGGTAGGCTTGCAGGGAGATGTATCTGTGGTTTTCCTATGGACCAGAAAAGGTCTGATGCAGTGATTGTGCAAGAGTTACAGGTCAGGTATGGAGCTACAGCCATCAGGGCTTATGTTCTACACTGGGAGCAGATCTTCAGGGCAGCTACCTGTAAACCGGGCATGCCATAGGTCACTGGAGGAGTGAGGCCAGAGGAGGAAACCATGTCAAAGGGAAATAAAAGGAAAAATCACAGTTGCTTCCCAATTTTCTGTAGGAAGAGTGTTGAGATCTGTTTGTTTCTTTCTTTTAAGAAAAGAAAGATCATTTTTTTAAAAGAAAACAAAAATCAGAGCACACATTTCTAAGCTCCCTGAGACAAAGTGTGCATCCAGCCCCTTTCCCCCATCTACCACACACCAAGTGCACAGCGTTCTACAGAAGAAGCTGTTCTTTCAGGAAGCTGTGTGGGAGGAACTATTGGTGAGTCAAAATGTCTTAAGTTTTAAAAAGCTAGCATTATTTTTGTAAAGTATTTATTGAATTGTAACAATAACTCACATGCGGGATATGTGTCTGACATGAGAGGCTTCTGCAGATGGAACTCGATTGCCAAGAACAAGGCTGTTGTTAGGCAAAGGTTTTACTTCCAAATTTTGATAGAGTGCCAGTTTACGTACGTAATCCTGTAATTAAGCAGCTGATAACCTGCATTCTTATGAAAGATAAAAACTACCCCATGGGTAAATAAACACAGTTCCATCCTCCAAAAGGCTGTCTTGCTGCAAGTCCATGTCTTCATTTGGAAAATTAAGACTAAATGTTACTAGAGTAATGCCTATTTTTGGGTTACGTGGGCTGATGTATGTGTGGAACCTCACACAGCGGCAATGCAAATCTTGCATTGCCATCAGTCTTAGCTGAAAGATTGGCCATGAAAGACAATTTCTCCTGCTATGCACATACACCCATCTACTCTGTAGGGCTTTTCTCTAGCTCTGTGTCCTTTCAGGTGCTGGTCAATTGCAGCTTCCTGGATAGATGTACATGTGCATGGCCCCCCAGCATCAACGTGTGCATGGCAAGTCTGCTGTGCCTGGGAAGCATCAGGCTTGTGTTGGTTTGCCCAAATGGTGAAAGAGGATTAAAAAGCAGCCTGGAGACCCGCTCTGACCAGAGGAGTGGTGCACATGCTGCAGAGGCTCTTTTACAGGCCAGGTTTCCAGAGAGACAATGGTCCCAGCAAAGCCATTGAGCACCCACAACAGCGACCTACCGAGGTGACCGCAGCAGCTGGAAGTCTTGGCCAAGCCATTGGATCTCCCCAGATGTGGGCTGGAGTTGGAGGTGGGGGGAGTCGTGGATGTATTATAGCACACGCTGGTGGTAACAAAACATGGTTGGTTGAGCAAGAGGGTAAACATGGGGATTGCTCCTTCATTTTTATAAAACCCAGGTTTTGCAGATTCTTGCGAGGTCGTAAGAAGGAGCCACCGGCTAGCAGAGCCAGGTAAATTGATCGCAGATGGGTGAAAGGCATAAGCAGCTCCAGGATCAGTCCCTTCATAGGGAAGACAGGTATTTTCTGCATCATGGGGGAGAAAGCGCTGCTTTTTACTTCACTGAGCAGCATGGGGGGAACTACAGTCTCAGGTTTCTCCAGTCACAGTTCTTCAGACACAAAACACATCCCCGCAGTTTATGGATTAGTAAATTATGGTGCTACTGAGAAATGCTGCTGCATCAATAATACTGAGCATAACAAAGTGTCAGGGAAGAGAAATTATTCTAATAAATGAAATGACGCACACAGCTTTAAGTGTTCCCACTCATAGCTTGCCAAGGCTAGCAGCTCTGAAGGAGCCCGAGAACCACTGGTGGGGACCTACCAGGTTTTTTGTAGGATGAGTCCTAGAGCACAGATTGAGAGAGTATTCATTCACACTTCTGCAGGCTTCAGCTACAGTCTGAATGGAAAACAGTCCTATTTTACAATAAATTATGATCCATTCAGGGCTGGACTGCTTTTTGTTCTGTTTTCCTTCTCTCATTTCCAATGACTTGAATTGTACCTGGAATGACTTTGTGTAGGAGTCCTTAGCAAGGTGCTGGAGTTTACCGTGGCCAAATTTGGGTCAGTGTCTTAAATACAGAGCTCTTCATGTTAGAATAAGACCTGAGGAAGGGTTTGTGCTCTTACTTCGTGAGGCACAGGGCGGTTGTTAGAAGAAGCTGTTACATTTCGAAGTTACTATTGGATGACCCCAACCAAAGATGTGAGTGGGATAGAAACAAGCAGAGCTAAACAGCACGTGTGGTCTCAACACTGATAAATCCTCAGAGTCCCCACTCCCATAGTCACTCTGCTCCCAAAAGGGAACTTGAATTATAGACTACACACAACTGCTCCATATCTGAACTATCGTGTTTACCAGTGTCTTATCAGCAAGGCCAGAGCAGGGTGTGCTCACCCCCCAGCCTCTCGTTCCTCTGCACTGCCTTTCTCTTGGGCAAGCACAGCTGTTTGTGCAGCAAGAGGAACCAGCCAAGTCATCCAAGTTATTTTTAACCCTGATCGATCAGCAGATACACATTACCTCACGGATTTAGTCGAGTTGGCAGGAATAACTAAAGCTGGCACTGCTGCTGAGAAAGATGTGCGGAGCGGTGCCCCGAGGCAGACACAAATGGATGGAGCACGTACCTTTGATGGTTAAAAGGATGAGCGGGTCTGGCTGCACATCGCCCAGCTGTGGAGCAGCAAAATTCCACTAACATATCCCACACTGAGGCATATGGGTCGTAGGACAATACAGCGAAAAGCAAAACCACACACACACATACTGACGAATCCCCACTGTCCTGCATTAGTTACCAGCTGCAATCCCCCCACTGTGCAGAGTAGTTAGTACTGTCAACATGCATTGCTTCAGAAAATGCCAGTGAGCTCACTGGCCTGCCTTTTCCATAGACAGCATCTCCACTGGGATTGTAGGGTGCAGTGATGATGCACCTGATGCTTCCACCTGAGTGGGGTCAGACGAGCTGAAGAGGGTGAAAAGCGACCTCTCCCAGTGGAAGTCTCTGCTGCTACCTGCAGGGGTAACGGGATGCATGTGAGCCACTCGGCAAGGGGATGCCCTGACAGAACACAGCAGTCCCTGATGCCAACGTTTCCTACCTGTGGTGGTCTTCCTGGTCAGCAGCAGGAAGGCAGTGAGGGAGCACCTGCACTTGGTGGTGATGGTCCAGGGGCTGCTTGAGGAGCTGCTGGTGCTCCCCCGTGCCTCCCCTTGCTCCCCTTCCTGCTTTTGGCATCAAGGCACCAGCAGCCAGTGTGGCACCGCAGCTTATGCTCAGCAGCAGTCAATGCATTCATCCGTCCTTGGAGACAATCATTCATGTTCAGGCTGGGCAGGCAGCACAGAAACCTCGTGAGAACCATTCCTAAGGCTGGTCAAGAAGCTGGCAGGGCAGTGAGTCTGCTCATAACCCTCCATCCAAAGTAACTCTGCAGGCTCCGTGCAGTCACCCACCCTCGTGGGACAGTGGCGTGGCAAGGTGCTCTCTTTATAACCCCGAAGAGGAAGCCTGCAAAACAGATATGGACAAGCTGGGGTCCGTTCATGCTCCCTGCGTGCACCTGCACAAGCATGGCCATGTCCCTCCCCTCCATACACACGGATCCTGGAGCACATGAGAGGGAGGGCAAAGACCAGACTAAAGATGACACTTCTTCCAGCAAACTGGTGTGGCTCTGTGTGGCTGCCTGGCATGTCTGTGACAGTGGAGCGAGCATGTGTTTTTCTATCATCACCAGTTCCCCCCCACCCCGGTCTTTTCCCTTTGTAGCTTTTAATGGAAAAATGTGTGGGCAGTTTCCATTATGCCTGCGCTGTTTCAGACAAATTAAGGGGTTGGCTAAGAAATCCCTGGTTTCATGTTTCATACAAAATACACACACATGCATATATTTATATGTCTGTGTAAATTAATTTAGGATATCCTCTCGTCATGTGCTCCATGGCAGTAGGTTGTGGCGCGCGGTGCCTGCAGACACCCTGTGCAGAAGAGCACTTCCTTTCGACCAGCGCAGGGGGACGAGGGCACTTTTGCCCTTGCTGTGCAGCTGAAATGGCTTCAGCTCTGCCGTTTACTTTGTGAGTGGCAGGTTTATTCGGTTTTCCTTTTCAGCTGCATTGCTAACGCCACATTTCACCTTTTATGACTGTGCTAATTTTCTATCAGTTCAGGGAGTTATACATTTCTTCCTTGTTTGTGCTTTATCACAAGAAGGATCGGGGGGGGGGGGCGGTATTTGAAGCACACAGAGAAGCTTTTCATTCAGTAAAACGCACGATTTATAAGGGGTTCAGAATGTTATACTGGGGAGGTGATAGCAGTATGACACAGGTCAAAGCAGCCAAACCTAACAAAACCAAGTGTGGGTGGCTCTGGTTTTCGGAGGAGTGCTTAGATAATATTTCCTTTTAAAAACTGGGCAAACAACATTACATGTGTTAAATGTCAGAGTTTTTGCCGTTTATTACGGGCCTGACCGATGCTTCACATAAGAGCGGAAGGGTGCTTTGCTCCATGGGTTTGAGGAGGGCTCTGGTATGATTCCAGAACATGCCTGAAGCAAGGCACAGCATCTGCACACCATGGTGGCAGATGCAGGATGTGAGTCAGAAAGTTTGGGGAGCAGAGAAGGCTTGGGAACCAGCTCCCACCCCAAGCACCATCTCCAGGCTGGCTCCTGCCTCTGCACAGCTGTGCTTGACCTGCTTGTTTGTGCCCAAAGCCAAGCTGCAGCCATCCCCTTCCCCACTTCCCAGGGACAGCTCTTGAAGGGATATTGCTCAGCTGCAGAGAGCAGACTGGGTGCAGCCCTGTCCGGCTGAGATGGGCTCCTTGAATCAGGAAGGAGGATGGGAAAGGTGCAAAAGCGCAGACACAGGGACTCCTGTGCTCACTGTCCTCAGCAGCATTTACTACCAGTTACTATCAGTTTACAGGCAGTGGGGAGCACCTTCAAACCACGGCACAGCCTGGCTTCATATACCCACCAATGAAGCGTGAGTGTGAACCTCGAGCAACTTACCGGCACCGTCCTAGTCCCCGTAACCCATTTAGGAATGGACATTTAGGAGCGGAGATGAAGCCAGCACAACACCTCCATCTAAAACCAGCCACCACCAGCAGGCAAAAGCACAGCTTTGTTTCATGTGCAGATGTCCTGGTTATTCCAACAGATCCAGGCATAGCAGTAAGTAGTGGCTTGGAAACCCAGCAAGGTCTGCCTCTGCACCAGTTCTCCTACACAACCCTTATCTTACAACCTGCCTGGAAAACACAAACAGCAAAAGGGTGTAGAAATAGGAGTTGTCTCACCAGGTTAAGAAAGAGGACACAGAAACAGGAATGGGAATGGCTTCTGGCCGGTGTGAAAAGGAAACAGCAGTGCATTGGGTTACAAAGTGGCCTCATTAAGGATCATCAGGGTTTATAACAGTGTGTGGGTAATGATAGTCTCAGAGAGGGGAAAGTCAGAAGGCACAAAGCAAGTCTTGAAAAGGAGCCTAGCAAAGGGAATGCTGAAGCAGTGCTTACATCCCCAGCAGGCTGAGGGCTTCCCTTGCCCTGCCGTATGCTCACAGACCCATTCCCAACTAGTGCATCACGTCTTTAATCACCACGAGGTACACAACAGCAGGAAAGCCCAATGGAAGGGTACAGGGGGTAGGTGTAAGGGGAGGAAAAGTCACTGAGCCTCTTTTCCTGACCGACAGCCTACATGGGCTCATGCTCGCAGTGGTAGCTCCACCACAGCTCTCAGCTGCCCGCAAGAGGCCGATGGCGGTGGTTAACCTTGACAAATAACTATGTTTTGCCCTTGCCCATAGTGGCACAGCAGTCAGTATTCCTGTAATTTAATGTGGCTTTAGCTCCAAAGGTCAACCCCCTCTGTCTCACACCCATATCAACCACCCAAGGCAGTGGGATTCCCTCTCCTCAAGCACCACCGGCTGCACAGGGGCAATGCCTTGGGTCACTTTGCAGGTCAAGACTCTTTCCCCATATGGAAAGGGAGACCTGGCCTCGTCTTCCTAGCACACAGACAGGAGGCACAAAGCCACGCACGGGCTGGAGGTGGGAGAGGAAGCTTGGCCCAACCTCAACCTCAAACACAACCGCATCTGTCACTGCTATGTTGGGTGGCCTGGTTACACACACAGCATTGTCCCTGCAGCCGCAGGGACTACCCTGCAGTCTTTGAGTCAGAAGGGAAGCAGCACCGTGCTCCGTGCCTGACCAGCACTGATGGGGAGCAGGAAGGTGGGAAGACCCAAGAGATACATACTTCGAGACCCATGTACCTCAAAGCTGCACTTCGGCCCTGGGATGAAGACAGCACGCAGACAGCAGGGCATCACCCGCATTTAAGGGACACAGGGAAGTAGAGCTGAGCTTTGCCTTCTAAGTCATAGTCAGGAGGTATTTGTCCTGCATTAGAAAGGAGATGAGACCAGGTAACACTGGCTTTAGATCTGCAAGGCCAGGGAGTCACACAGGGCTACCTGGTGTATCTGACACCTCCAGGCTGGCAATTACAATGTGAGCTGCCAAAGCCTCTTTAACCAGAGCTTGAATAGAGAGCAGCAAACTTGATTGAAACAGAGGATTTTTTCCTCCCAAGAATATCCACCTGTTTCTCCCACAGGCTGCCTTCTGCAAACTTCCCCACCACTTCAGCACATAGCTGCTCTCCAGCCTCTTCAAAGCCATGGCCCTCCAGGGAGGTTCATTGTCTGGCAGCCAAACAAAGGCAAAGAGCAGCACTATCACCCCACATACAGCTACCTGACATCCCCCACATCACTGCACCCCCAAAAATGCCAAAAGCTGCTGGGTCCTTCTTTGTACCAGCACCGTGTTCATGCAAAGCCCTGTGTCTGCTTTGCATGAACGCAGTCACACATGGCACGGACATCACTGCATCTTTGGGCTCTCAAGCCTGACAGCACAGCTCAGCCCCACTGGCAACGGCTGCTGCATGGCCCTGACTTATCCCAAGACACTTCTCATGCCAGGTTTTTCTTTTTCTTAATGGGAAGAGGCAAAACCAGACCTCCTGCATGAAGACAATTTGTCTCTTCTGGATGAGTTCCAGCGTGAGGAGGGTACTTTATACATATGGGCTCTCTTTCATGTTTGATTGCTGGACTGAGATCACAATTGTTGTCCAGCTCAAGGGGGAGGGGAAAAAAAAAGCAAAAACCACACAAATCAGGAAAGCATTAGGTAAACTTAGCTAAGAATACATCTTCTGACCAAATGGAGAGCGATGCTCTCTCATATAATTAGACTGTCTGCAGGAAGTCAGAAAGAACACACTGTGATGCTTTCAGTGCTGTGGGAGTCATGCAGTCCCCAGGAGATGTCGTATCTCTTCCCCAAAGCACTGGGTTGGTGTCCCTGGATAGACTGCAAAGGAAGAGCATGGTTTAAAAACCCTTCAGAAGCTCTGTCATTGCATTCTGGCTCCAAAAGCCATCCCTCATTCAATGAAGAGATGTGCATACATGAGGACAACATGTGAAAACAAACCCTGACTGATCAAAAAGTGTTTGAATACTGGCTCTAGACTTGCACAAGGTGAGCAGAATGCTGGTTTTGGTGGTAAAGGGCCAATGGCACAGCCAGCAAGAAAGCTGGTTAGATCAATGGGACTGTATTGCACAGTGGAGGAAAGATACTCTGCACCAACACATAATATCAAACAATAAATGATCCTGTTCTTCCTATAATGACTCCTCTCCTAATGTCTTTCTCCTTAATGGTAACAGCACAAATGGACATTGAAACACGCAGGCACAGCAATAGGCACATGGGCCTGACACACAGGTTTCTGCTCGATGCCACCTCTGGCAAGCAGTGGGGATACAAAGGGACAGATCCTTCACCCTCCAAAGCCAATGGTGAGGCTCAAATCATCTTTCTCCTGGCCCGTTGTTTTGGGAATGGACTCTTTACCAAAAAGGAACAAGTCAACATTTTCCATTCTGTTCTCTTCCGAGACATTGAGCAAGAGCAACTTGTAAATTGCTTCCAGCCACTTCGAGACAACAAGGGAACAAACAACTATCAACAAGTATTACCCTCGTTGCTTCACACGAAAGCACTTATGAGACTGAAGGGATCCTGACAGGCAACTGGAAAGTATTTCTTTTTATGCTAAATTTATTATATTTAAGACCAATTTTCCATGATTTAAAATGTGCTATGTAATAAAGGGCTGGAATGCCTTCTTTTGTCATAGTATTTCACACCCAAGGCCTCAGAGCACTTTTCTGAATCAAACGCTGCAATAGTTTTGCAAATCAAATGTTTTAGGAAGCAAAGAACAGGGAGTAGAGGGCAATTTTCAGAGCTGTTGGTGGTCATAGAGGAGCCTATAACAAAACTGAAATAGCATCCCAATATCTGGCCTCCCCGGTCCTGTGCCAGGACCACGGGCTCTTTCCCTCCTTGTGCTGATGCCTGCTGACAACCCACCACTTCCCTTCCTCTGGAACATGGGCTCCTCACCTGCACACCCATGCTGCACTGTGCCTTAGGAATGAAAGAAACCTGGAAAGAAAAGTGAGATGGTTTCATCAAGGGAGGAAAAAGCAGGAAATAGCCAATGAAACATTGCACATTTTGCATTGTTTCAGATTCTCCCCAGGAAGGGAAGAGCATCATCTCTCTTGGCACCATTGTGATCCGGACCATAGCTAACTGCGACCATTTGATGGTCCCAGTTCAATTTTCATGGACAAGTAGCCCCCCTGTAAAAGCCAGTTGTAACTGGTGCTGTTAGACAAAGAGCTCAAAGCCTGAGCAAACATAAAGGCTGCGCTGCTTCTTGGTGATCCCACACAAACACATATGGGTGAGGCTTTTTAGTACTTCCATGCAAGGGATCTTGCCTATGACCATAGGCAATGGTAATGCAAACTTCATTAGATTATTGGCACATAACTAAAAGGCTTCAGGGGACTATGAGCTGTTAGCTTAACTATACCCATATAGCAAAGCTCACATAACCCCCTCCTGAGAGCACTCTTCCACCATGGGCAGGATCTGCAGACAAAATAGGGAAGGAGCTGGGCCCTTTCCACTAATACAGCCTGTCTGTTGAGAGCATTATGTTAAAACCAGAACTGATTATCTGCTGATGCTTCTTAGTCAGCCCTTACACACCTTCAGGTGGGACAGGCAGCAGGACCACAACCACACCGACATGGTCTGCAATGCTCTGCATATGCAGTAAGTTTTATGCCACAACACCAAAGCTCTCTAAGTCCCTCTCAGGAGTCTCAGCTGCTATAGATATTCAAGAGCTAATTTTCCTCACAGCCTTAAAGCATGAAAAATAATGTTACCCTCATGATTTTTAGGGAACTGCTGCTGTCAAGGGAATTGACTTGGCCAAAGCCAGAAAGGAAGGGCTGCGCAAAACTGGGACCTGTATATCATTTTTCCCATAGATTTCCATTCATTGTTTAAGGTGTAAGTGCTACTAGAAAGGGTCACTGGACTGTAACAGGGTTTAATGCTGATATTTCACAGGATTTCAGCGATTATGCCTCATATCCACCATTACTTTAGACAGAAGCTGAGCAGGCACCAGGTTGTGTGAAGCAGAAGCCTGTGCCCATCTTTAACACTCTCCCCACCTCAAAGCAGCACACTTAGAAATCCTCCACACCCCCAAGAGCAGGACGCAGGGTGCACGCAGCCGGTGCAGGCAGCGCAGACGTCTGCTCTCAGCGGCTCTCAGGAATGCACCGCTCGTGGGACGGCTCGACGATGCATCGTCCTGCATCCAGGAGGGCTTTGTTCTCTGTGGGGTGAAACCTCAGCCTTCACTTTATTAAACGCAATTGCAGAAGCCAAAAGGATGAGTCACAAAGGCGGTTGTGTAAGCGCGCGTACGATGGAAGCACAGGGGACACGCGTTTCCTTCACGGAGGATGGCTTGGGTCTGGCAAAGCCTCTCTGATGGGCACGGTCCCCATCCATCACCTCCCACCCTATGCCAGCGAGGGCTCAGGCAGATGGGTTGTGCAGGTGTTGGCCATGGAGAACAAAGCAAAGAGTAGGTAAGGAGGAAATGGTGGGAACACACTGGTACACAGCCTCCCCTGCAACAGCAGTGATAAGGAAGGCTCTTTCCATTGCTAGTCGGGATCAGGCCAAAAAGGAGGGAACTCAAGTCAAGTCCTGCCTATCCCTTCCTCAGAATCAGTGCTGTCTCTATCAGCTCCCACATCACTGCCCCGTCCCCAGCCCCTTCTAAAAGATAAATTAGGAAGGGAGGGCAAGGGGATGAGAACTGCCGAAGCTGCCGGCACAGGACACCTTCACCAGCGAGCAGATCACAAACAGCACTGACTACGGGATGCAATCACACTGAAACAAGGGCTGGAGCGTGTCCTGCCTCCTGCCTCAGTTTTCCTGATCTCCTCCCTGCTCAGCAGATGGCAAAGCCTCTGCCAGGACCAAACACCTGCCGGCCACAGGAGACACCGCAGGGCACACAGGATGGGATCCTGCCTCTGTGCCCGGGGCCTGATCAGTGGGATTTTGCTTGGGAAAACAAGGCTGCCTGTGGAGCAGCACCAAGAGAGAGGAAAAGGGGGAGAAAACACCAGTGGGTGCTGCTGCTATGTCAGAATTGCCTCAACCTCAGAGAGAGACCGAAGGAAAACAAAAGCAATGGCTTAAAATCAGCTCCAGGCACAGTTGTGCCTTTACGCTGCCGTTGCTCACCAGTGTCCACCCCACAGCTGTGAGCTCCTTTGCTGGTGTAGGTAGACCCTTGGAAAAGGGACCAGGGGTCGGATCCACTTTGTTCTCCTCACCCAGACTGTCTCTTGTCCTCACCCCCTGCCTCCAGCCAGATGTGCTCCCTGCCTGCCTCCTGCTAGCCCTTGCGTTCACCCTGGTGGTAATTCAGCAATTCAACTCAGGAAGCTGATCCAGCTGAAATCCTCAGCATGAAAGAAAAGAGGTTTCCAAGCAGAATATAAGCACTGCCTTTGAACGCAGAGAATTCCTAATTTGTTATTAACAAAATAACATAGAAGTGACTGAAATATCTTCATTAAAATCTCCTTTTAAGCTGAAGAAAAAGTGCCATGAAAATACTGACTTTCTAACACCATAAATTGAGTGAAGAAGGGATGACGCCTTTACCAAAAGAGACATCAGACTGCATGGAATTTATCACTGGTTTACTCTTCTGAAATAAATCAGCTGGCAAAGTCATGACTTGACCTACTTAATTTGTTGTCCTGAAACTTGACGAGCATTGAAGATTTGTTCTCAGAGCCTGGAAAAGGAATGGGACAGGGGGAAATACAGGCACCATATCCAAATCCCTGCACTGAGATAGCATCTTCTTTTAGACACTACAAAAAGGCACCACAACAGCAGGCAGTGGCTGCAGTAGTGCCACTAATGAAAGGAAAATTGGGCTCCAGCAGCCTTTACAAGGAAGCCCAGCCCAGTCTTAACGCAGATCAAGCACAGTGTTTCTAACACAGATGTGTTCCATATATTGTGAGAAGTTCCTGCTGGTGGAGGTTTTGCTCCACACCTGAGCAAGCTACCTTCCTCAACATCAACGTTTTGCATAAGCCTCCTTCCTCTCTGCTTCAGAAGTCTATGGCTGGCAGATGTGGAGAGCAATGCCTTCCCTTTCTCCTCACAGTCATCCTCAACGTAGCCAGAGCACCAAGCCCTTACTTCTTTCTCTCCTAGACTTGCACTTTCTCTCTTGATCTCTTCTCACTTCCTCATTTCTTCTCATTTTCCATGAAATGTGATGCACTCTGCGAGGGCACACCTGTGTGCACACATTCTTGTCCCTCTACACCCCAGCTCCAACAATCTCCTGCACTTGTTTCAGTTCCAATGCATACTACAGAATACATAGGGAATACACTGCTTACCTCCCTAGTGCCAACCCACCCTTCCAAAAGCATTCTGTAACTCATCCAGAATCCACTTTTTCCTCTGTTATTTTTTATTATTTCCATAAACTATAGGCTGCCACATCCAAACCAAAACCCAGCTGTACAACACTACACAGCTTCATTCAAAATCCAAAACCTACTTGCTCTTTCCCAGGTGAGACACTGAAAAAGCTCACATCGACACCACCAGCAGCACAGAACTGCGCAAAAGTGTGGCCCAAGGGCTCCAGAAAACCAAAGGCTTGGCAAGGATAGCTCAGTGCTTTAATTAAAAACCTTTGATAGGTTTAAGAGTGCTTGGGTGCTTTGTTGGGTCTTTTTCCTAGGGAGGAGAAATTGATTGTATCTACCTGGGTATATTTATAGCAGCTTAATCTCCTTTGAGAGTTCATATTTTCTCTGATTTGATAAGATTGTGGCCCTTTAATAAGTTGGAGCATTCAGATACTTATGACAATCTGGCACTCGAATTGTTTGCTTTAGCACTGCAGATTGCACAAGAGACATGAAAGGTTTCAGCGTAGCTGGAAAGTCACTTTTGATGAAATCACCCATCGCTCCAGGGGCCGCATTCTTTACAATTTGTGCATACTGATGCTGTGTGTCTTCAGATGCATTTTGGCAACCCTGTGCCATTTTCAGAAACCCATCTGGGACTCAGGAACAAAGCAAACGCACACGAACATGAGGAAGACAGAGCTGGCACAGCTACCGGATGGAATTTCTTTAAGGAAGCGAAGTCGCTTGTTCGTTTTGCTGGCAGAAAAAGATAGGAAAATGAGTGTTCCTGTTCTTGATGAACTTTGTGATATTGTTAAATCCTTCAGACAACATATAATTCATGGCGAAGCTGTGGCAGAATTCCTTTGCACTTATCCACAGTGTGGCTCTCCCCCAAAGCACAGATCTCTGCCTTCGCTTCATACACAAAAAAGTTGCCCAGATGAACAATAGCTCTAACTTTAGGGAAAAATCAGAACACTTGCCTCCAGTTTTTTGCTTCATCCCTGCCAAAATTCGTTATGGCTCCATCAGCTACATACTTTCCTTCCACTGAAAGAAGAAAGGGCAAAAGCAGACTCCATGCTGTGGTACCGATCAGCAAGCGACTTGGGAGCAGAGTTTCCCAGGTAATGCCTTGAGCTTTGCCATGCAGACGCCGAAAGGGGCAGCACGAATGATGCCCCTTCCTTGGCAATGCCTCTCAGTGCCAATGGCACCCAGCAGCATTCCCATAGCTGCGTAACAGCTCATCCCTGAGCCCAGAGCAGACTAAGGAGGTGGCACGTGCTTGAGCTCTGACCACCAAGGTCAGCTTAAATCTCCCTCATAGGTGCATGCGAACATCTGAGTTACACCAGCCGAGGATTTAGCCTGGGACTGCAAATCGTAATTAATACCCATCCCAGCCTTCCATTCCTTATGGAAAGAGCAGTGAATCACTGCAGTGGAGGCTTGCAGAGGAAATCCTCAGCCACAACAAAAAGATTTCATGCTTTATCTCCCCCTCTCAAGTATTTTAGCAGACAGACGGAGGATTTTCCTCCCAGTGACAACAATAACTACGCTCATTGAAGAAAAATATGTGGAACAGGAAGACCTGCATTCCTTGTGTGAAAAATAAGACTGGTCTGTGCCAACTGCATTTTTCAGGAATAAGTCATCCACATGAAGAAATGGCTGCTGTGATAGTGGCAGGAGCAGCGAGGCCTATGGTAATGTGCTGTATAACTGACAGATGGGAAAAGTAGAGAGAGAAATGTGGCTTGGTCTTTGTTTCTTCCAAAGTTTCCATTATTAATATGCCTCTTTGACTCACATTTGAATGACTCATGTCTTCCCCGCTCCTTGCTCCTGCTGCTTTGTGTAGCAAATGCACCTTATTCCTAATGGCACCATTCCCAAAAGTTCAGTTATTTTGTGTTTAAGAGACCTCTTGAAATATATCCTGGGCTCTTCAGGGCAGGGACTTGGAAAGCTTCACCTGCAGTCACTTAGGCATGTGCTTAACTTCATGCGTAGGTCCCTACATTAATTCATAAGGCTTAAATGCAGTCTGGTAGTCCAGCAACGACACATCTATTGGATTAGGTTATTATTATTATCCATTATTATTATTTAATTCAAGGCCAGGTTGGACAGAGCATTGGGAGACTTGGTTTAGTGTGAGGTGTCCCTGCTCATGGCAGGGGGTTGGAACTGGATGATCTTAAGGTCCTTTCCAACCCAAACCATTCTATGATTCTATGATAAAAAGATAACTCAAAGAGGGAAAAAAAGAGCTGGGAATATTGGCTAAGCTCTTCTAGAGAAGAAAAGAGTGACAAAGACACCAGCCTCATGTATGAGGTCAGGAAGCGCCCGCATTTTATCACATCAGGTAGCAAGAACACATTTCCCACTCTCTACCTGACCACTATCATCTTCGGACACTTCCCAGTTGCAAATGTTCCAAACCTCCTGAAGTCTTCCCCAATGCAAGCGCTTCTCCCACATCCAGTGGTTTTGCTGGAGTCACCCACGGCCCAAGGGCATTGCCTCCTTTAAATATGGGTGCCGTGACTCTCTCGTTTCCATCGTGCGAGACCCGCAGGGCTAAATCATAGGCAGAATGAGAGACAGGAGTGCACAGAGTTCTGGGATGTGACTGAGGAGTGGCAGAACAGGCAGGCATTTGTGCACGGGGGTTAGGCACATCGTCCCGCTGTCAGCACTCTGCGGGGCTCACTGCCCCGTGCTCGGAGGAGGGCAGCCAGCACCAGGCGAACAGCAGAGGCTGAGCTGTGCCAGTCGCACAGCATAAAAACACTCAGCTCCCTTTCAGCCATTAAAATGAATGAAGAGCAAGACTGTTTGGATAAACACCAGCCAAAAGAAACCTTGGAGGCAGTTAGAAGGCTACTGCTTCATACAATATAGACCATGTTTCCAAATACAAATATTACACTTGGCAAAGGCGCTCCTTCGCTTCATGAGTTATGTTGCATTTTTTGTTATGTTTAAGTTTGTGCAA